TGTTAAATGAACTATTTTATGAACAAGTCCATGATGCAGCTATCTATGAATTTTTAAAGAAACTCAGTTTAGTAAGACTTTCTGTTGCAAAATCAAACAAAGAGTAGCTTTACTGGGGCTTTATATAGAGAACCATCTTAGCAAAGATTTTAAAAATACAAGTCAAATAAAATTGTAAAGTAGGAGATTTGATTCATTTGTTTGTTGGGCGTGAGTGAACTCAAACAGTTACCCAAGTGTTGTCCTTTGGCCCTTGTGTCAGGACTGAGGAGGTGCAGAGGCAAAGATGATTCACAGAACTAATCAAACAAGAATCTAGGGGTAGAGTAGCCATTTAATATGAAAAAGTGAGAGGACAGGTCCACAAAATCAAAGTCCTCCCAAAATCAATTTAAACTTTAAGAACAAGCGCTTCCAAATTTTAGGGTGAATGGGATGTTACATAATCACGTTTTAATGCCCAGTAGCTGTGTTGTGATTTATTGAGTTATTTCTAAATAGTACTACAATACTAACAAAAATATAGAGTCTGGCACATAAGAGAGACTTAAAAATACATGAAAGAAAAGGAGGTAGAGAGGGAGGAAAACAAAGAAAGAGACTCAGAATGGGAGAAATGAAAGATGAAGGAAACAGGAAGAAGAAAGAAAGAAAGGAAGGAGGGAGGGAGGGAGGGTGTCTAACAAATCTTAGAAATTACTGTGTGACAAATGGATTACACACAAGTTTCTGGAGAGATGTTTAGAAAAGGAAATGATATATGTCATCATATTTTAAAGATTTACACTGTCTACATTTAAGATGCTACGTACGAAGTTGATTTCTCAACCATTTGCCTCATCAAGGTTACAAATTAGCATGAATGTTTTCTAATAATATTTATCAAGAATTCAAAAATATAAACCAAAAGCAAAGGCAAAACTTATCATGAAGTAGAAGGAGAGGTGGGGTTTTATGTCAGGCACTTTGGCTTGTTTTTAGGCTTTGTCCTTCAACGCCATCCTAAAGGAAGTCTGGTTACTTCATCTAAATCTACTCCCTTGGTACAACAAATTTTTTAGGGCCTGCTGGGCCATTTTGGGATCTATCATAATCATGGAAATTAATTAATTTATCTTAGTTCAGGTTCTACATGGTCATACATTATTTTGTGCCGAACGATAATTGCCAAATGTTTTTGTTTTTATTTTTTGCTTTTTCTTTTTTTCGGACAGAGTCTTGCAGTGCAGTTCAACCTGGATTTGAACTCACTCTGTAGCCCAGATTGGCCTCTAATTTGCAGCAATCCTCCTGCCTCAGGCTTTTGAGTGTTGGGATTACAGGAGTGAGCCACCAGGCTTGGCTTGATGTTTGCAATCTTAATTATCCATATTTGTCATTAAAATAGAATTCTTCCTGACTTCCGGGCTCCTTTTTAATAGAAAAGCTTGACTCAAAATTTTTTAAATTACCACAATTAAACTATTCAAGTGATATATGCTGAACCCAATCCCCAGTAAGGTGTTACATAAGTATTGGAATCCACAGGGACAGCCTTAAAAAAATAATTCATTTTCTAAGTGAAGATGTCTGTAAGCGAAGGACCAGAACTATATGTCTATCCCTGCAGTGCTAATGAAGCCCAAGTTCTCAATGATTGGTAATTATTATTATATATGCATTTTTCATATCTACGAGGCATCTACTTTTCTTAGTTTTAGGAAAAACAAATGCATAAATGTGCTGACCACTTGGCTCTCATAAAAATAGTCCATATCAAAAATGTAAGTGCCCAGCTTACAATGTTCATAATTCTTTCAAAACGTTTTAATGACTTGAATAGAATTCTCTAGAAGTCAAACATTTTAACAGTCTCGGGCTCTCAGAATATAATCTCAGCCCTGAAATCAAAAGATCACTGAAAGGGAGGATGGTCAGCATAAACCTCTTATTTTTATTCTAACTGGACTTATTAACCCGCATGGTATTCTGTCATTAAACAGACGTATTTGCTGAGTCTCACCAATACTCTCTATTATGTATTCTGTGATATGATGATGTATGATATGCTATCCATGGTGTATCACACATGATACCATCTAGAGCATAGACTATTAACCTGATTTCCTTCACACAGTGAGTCAGAAGCAAAAATGTAAACGATGCTGGGAGACTTTGGCAGTGGAAAAAAAAAAATGCCACCTAACGCTTTCATGACAAGAAATGTAGACTGTATATGCCGCCCGGAAGTGATACACATATTATCTTCAGTCACCCAAGTTAGCTTTAATGAATATGTATCATTAAATAAGGCCAAGAATTGTAATTGAAGGAAACCCTTCCTCCAAAACAATGAATGCCCTTGAGGCAACAAATTACAGTTATTTGGAGAGAGCCACTTATGGGTAATTATTCGGCATTATGATTGTTGGTATTTAGGAAAGCTCATGTGCAGAAGCTGGCTCACCCTCATGACGCCCTCCACGTTTTTCTTAACTGTCCCTCTGCCTCCTTACCCTAACCACTCCACACCTCCAGCTTCAAAAGCAGGATGACTGACTCCACCTTGGTCGCCTCACCTCTCCCCGCTTTAGCCCAAAAGGTTCTCCACTCTGGGAATCCACCATGAACAAGCAAATCCGGACAGTGGGACCTCTTATTCCAGAGCCAGGTGCTCTGGCAATCTCATTCCTCGTGCACCTCACTGAGATCACCCCGTGCTTATGAAAATCTTTCAGTCACTGTCACAGCCCTCGGGCAGTGGCTGTTATCGTGAGAGAGACCATTAGGCTCCCTGCTCTGAACTATTTTGAAAAAAAGGCTCTGAGACCTTAAAATATGCTAATCGTGGGCTTGGCTCATTGCTTCTTTAAAACTTCAGAGAACTCGGCTTCCTTCACGTATATATTCAAAGCCAATCGATTTAATAGGTTTGCTAGCCACACAATGGACGTTTCTACAACAGAACATATTTTGTTCTCTGCAAGTGTTATCTGAGGAAATGCTACTTAAGAAGGCCAGAGTTTGGAACCTGGGCTGGGCTTTCAATCAAAAAGAAGTCCTCCCTGGCAGGAAGAGAAGTTCCAGGAGGGACTTCTTTTTGTGTATAGACTTTAATAAAACAAAAATGAAAACATAGGGGAGGCCTGTAGGGCAGTCCACCGGCCTTTGCCGCGATAGGCAGAAAGCTTAATGGTCACAGAGCAGGAGGATCCTGTTACACCTTTCACCGCCTGTGGTGGCAGAAAAACAGAAGAGCAGGAGAAAAGGGTGGGAGAGCGTAGTTTGGTTAGTAATAGAGCTTTGTGGTTTCGCCTGGAGACAGGTCTAAGCAATTCCTAGTTAATTGAAATTAATCTGAAGCTCCGATTTACCCAAATCCCACAACCAATGTTTAGGTTTGTAATTATTCTACCCGTCATGAGTAGTTCTCGCGCTCCAAATACCGAATGGAGAATCGAGCTGCGGGTTAGACAGAGGCAGGGATTCTGAGCTCCTGCTTTCCTGTGTGAGGAGAGAAAAGAGAACGATTTCGTCCCTGGGGAGAGCAGAAGTACAGGCGGAGAGGCCCCGGATGAAACGCTGTCGCTTTACCACACCTGCCTGCCGGGGAGGGAACGCATCAGAGGACACCACACCGGGGACGGACCCAGCCCAGTGAGGGCCGGCCCGGTTAAGCCTCTGCTCTGTCCAGGACCTCTTGGCTGAGTGCACTGGACAGGGGCTGCTCTGGGGAGCCCTTTGCCCGGTCCTTAAATGTGAAGATCAACAGCTCCATGGGGTGCTGCTGACATTAGAGATAGGAGGGTAAAGAGATGCAAAACAGCCTCCTACCTGTACTAAGTATCCGCAGTGAATGTGAACAATGATAACAGTTATGACCGACAATAGCAGTGAAAATGGGGAAATGTGACCTGGACAAGCAGGGTGGGACATGGAAGGGAAGAGGAATGAAAAGAACCAAGGCGTGTGAAGTACACGTTCCTACTCCCGAAGATGAATGTGAGCTTCCTCTACTGCAACATAAAAGATTAAATCATTTAATATAAATAAAGAACTTAGAACCGCATTTGTAATGTTCCTACGGGTATTGTGAAAAGAAGAAAAATTATTAAGGAGAAAACTATATTTCAAAAAGCCAATTTCCTCAGTTATTCACTGACAAAAGCATTTTACTCCAGACTGGCTAGAGGAAGTGACGTCTCCTTCCAGTGCTCATATCTTTCATGACGGCGGCACAAGCGGAGTTTGGAAACTCGAACAAAACTGAATTCTAGCACTACCTCAGTGATTCGTTAACTTCAAAATTCAGTCTGTGTTCTCACCCGTAGCAGCATTTGACGAAGACTGAGAACCAAGTCGGGCCCGATGCCTGGAGCTGATATTTTGTGTGTTTTCACGTTGTTTCCCACCGTGGTCCAGCCGAGGGGGCGCAGGGCTTACTTGAGACTAAAACTGTCCGGTCCACAAAGCTAAAAGTATTGGCTCTACGTTACCTATTTTCCAAGTCTTAGTCCTCAAGAAGAGAATAATAATTCTACTCTGACGTATTTTTTGGAAAAACAAATGAATAAAATAATACACAAGGCAAAACCTACATATCGTCAAGGCTCAACAAAGAGTAACTGTTATTACTACACAGAGAATTGAAATCTAACCCTAATACTATTTATGTTAGTTTTGTTTGGTTGATTTTGGTCTTTTCTATCCTCTTGCTACCTAGACCATTCTGTCCAAAAGGAAAATATGAGCTTGACTTCCTTTAACGCGGATTAAACTAATCTGCCACTCCATTGCACCTGTTCATTCAGGCAATTTCAATGACCCTATTGATCCAGACTATCAGGGTTTCTGTCCTATTGTTTGGGAACATTTGCTTTGTATTTCAGTATTTCCAGGGCAATCGGACAGGGGGACAAACAATTCTTGCACAAATTTCATTTTCAATTTATTTTTTTATTTTTTATTTAGAAATAATAAAATAAGACATAATATATAAAAAATATGTACAATCCATGGTTTGTGCAGTACAATAGGAAGACCGTAGATACAAAAAACGATGGCAAATGGGAAAATAAGAGCTAACAAGATCGTCCAAGGCCAAAATTTTTCAACTCATTGGAGCCCAGAGCTGAAACCTCATGATACTAAAGGAAAAATCTAGCTCACTGAAGGTTGTGGGTGGGGACACAGCTATGCAACACTTTGAATTTTCCCCCTTGACATTATTAGACACAGAGTGAAAAAGAACTCGCCCGACTCGGAACTAGAGTTTTCACCTTTACAAATTGGCTTATTATAAAATATAAAGTCACATTTATTATTTGCGAGAGGAACACGATTTGGGGGACAGAGCTCTTCAAATACACACTGAGATTTGGGGTGGGAGGTATGCAAGGAAGAAAGGAAATGAAGGGAGAAGGGCACTAACAGAACAAAAACCAAGTAAAACAAACTTCCTGTAGGAATTTGGAAATGGCTACAGTGCTATAGTGACATCCTTACAATGTCTGATTCAAGTATACTCTTAGGAGGGATAGAAAACTATTCCTTTCTCAGTAATCAAAATAGAATGCACTTTGTCTACCTCTTATTTAAAAAATAGAATAACCAGGAATCTACACTCCCCCCACACAATATAACACCCATCCAGATATGGGCAAACATTCTTTAGAAGGGAATCCATCCTAAGGAAATTCAACAGGGATTTGCTTGCAACAGAGAAGCAACACACATCTGGGAATCCACCCCAGATATTCAATGTGAGTCCCTTCCATCTGCACTCTAGTGACAGGTTTGCACTAGTTCAGGAGACCCAGTCGATGAGGACAACTATTTTGAAGGTAAAATGCAGAGGTAAATGCTGTGCTTTACCTGTGTCTTGGCTCTTGACAACAACAACAATAAAATAGCCATTTAAAGCTATTAACTATTACAATGCTAGTAACTACGAAAAGCTTTCAAATGAACAGTCCATGCTGAAATAAATAACAGAAGAACAGAGCAATACGAACCTTATACGGCTGGTAAATATTTTCTAAAACCATGCTAACCGGTAGCATATAGGTACTAGCTTTCAGAAATTGTTGCACTGAAATTATATTTTCTATGGCAATTTGTTTTTTGCTTTACACACTTCTATTTACATTTGGCTTTAAATATGAAAATATCTGATAAACTTTATAAAATGTACACTTTAAAAACATAGCTTCTGCAAAATTCTCTTGAAAAAAAAAAACAAACCTGTGCACCAGAAATTTTAGATTTTATTTTCTCTTTTTTCAGAAATAAGTCGAAAGATTTCCCTCCCTCTTTTTTTTGTCCTTCTACCCGCCCCCTTCAAATATCTCAAGTCTTTTTTAAGTGGTAGCACTGTGTGTTTGGGGGGAGGGCCTTCTGTGTGGTCTCCCCCATCCTCCCCTGAATCTTTATTTAATTTACATGTCACTGAATACTCTTTGGTTTGATTATTTTCCTTTGCAGAACATCATAATAGCAGCAGCTGAAGCCCTCAATAGCCTCTCACTGTCAAAGGCCAAATTATTGTCTGTTCTATAAACGCTCCCATCTCCATTTCCTCCAACTCTTCAAACAACTTCCCAGACCTGCCTTTACATTTGGGTTTCAAATACCATCCAACTTGCTCAACCTCTCTTTCTTAGTTTCAGTGAATATAACCATTGGATTTCAAACCCATCGACGTGGAAGGCTGCAAACAGCAGAATCTGTCGCATTTCTGCAGGCCCTGCATTCATACATGGCTGTTCAAAAACCAGAGACCATCCCAAACGTCAATTTACAAAGCACAGGATTCTAGAACAAGCTGTTTTTTAATGGCATATCAGGATATAATACCACACTGGAGTTGATTTTGAGACTCCAATTAAAAAGAAAAGTCAGCAACCCCAGAATTCCCAAACAGGGAACTTTAAACCAAAGGAAGAGCTCCATTACTGAGCTGGGAGAGAGGAGTAGTTTCTAGCAAGGCAGGCAGCCAGGCAAGACAGGCTTCTGGAAAACAGTGTGTCCTCAGAATCCTGCTCTAGGGCTCCACAAAAAGTAATGCTTTGGCTCACAGCACATGGGGGGAAACGACCCTTTGGGGCTATCATCTCATTGACTTGTGACTGTGTGGCATGATTATGTGACTATCTTTGATCCTAAAATACTGAGGCATTCTCATTTTTGCCCTCTCCAAGAAAAAAAGAGGCAATTTTCCTCTCTCTTGTGAATACTTGAGCTGAAGTGTTGCCTTGGAGAGGCTCTTCTGCACCTCCCTGCTACTCCACATCATAGTCCTCTGTAGCTTGCTCTCACACTGCGGGTCTCCCTCCAGACAGGTTCATCAGAGAAGAGAAAAAAAAAAAAAAACAAAACAAAAAACGAAAGGCCAGGCATGGGATCTTTTCTAAGGTGATGCCAAGCTAAAAATGTCCTGACAGTCAAGGCCATGGATTCAGACGCAACTGTTTAACTACTGCTGTTTCATGCTGGATGGCTCCTTTCGGAGGATTCCAGAAAACGGGCAAAGTCCAACTGAGATCTTATCCTACGCAGTAAGTGTTGGAATGTGCAAAAAAGGAGAAAATCCAGACAAATCTAGGAGTTTATTGCCCACTGCTCACTTCATGCACTGGGCAGCATTAAAAGAAAAGGTGTGGATATTATGTGGATGTGGGTGAACTGTACGTTCCGTTTCTTCTTCCTCTTCCAGTAAGAAGGGTACATGAAACAGACAAAATGTCAAAAGCACTACACTTACTAGACTGTTTTGATGCTCAGTTTTCTGAGTAAGGTGCAAAATGAATAGGCATTTCAAGGTCTTGCTGAGGTTCAAAGTTATTGTCTCTTCATTTCAAGGCAACCCATGGGGCTTTTTCTTCTTTTTAGTATAAGCTCCATTGTGCAAAAATGTGCATTATCTTTGGTATTCGTTTTAGGTAGTCTAACTTAAAATTTGGGATAACCCATTAATATCCGGCAGAGAAAGGAAAGAAAAAAAAAACCCAGAGGCTACCATTTGGCTAGTGTTACATAATGCCCTTATGTAACCAAAGAGAGAAACAGAGAGAGGAGAGGACAGAGAGAAATCAATTGTAGCAAACAAATTACTGGCCTCAAAAAATCAGGCTCTCATTTTGGCAGTTAATAGCCAAATACTTGCCACTTTGCAGTGCATCGTGAGCTTTCAACAAAGTTCAACACTGACTTTTAAATTACATAAAAGAAAACCTACACTGCAACAAAAATACAATTTGTGTTCATGTAGTTAGCAGCTTTTCAAAAATTAAGGCAAAGTCTTGCCTTTGTTATGCCATTAAAAACATTCTTGTTCCCTAAAGAGAAGCATCCTGGATAAGTCAAATACCCAACCAAGGCTTGCCTGCAAATTCAAGTTTTGTAAAAACACAAAACAATACATTAAAAACCCATAACTTATTCTATAACATATATGTGCCACGGAGTCACACGGAGGCCTGTTGAGTACTTTACGTCGATCATCGGACTTAGTCTTTCTCAAGATCACTTGTGCTAGCCTCAGTCTCTTGTGACCACTTGCCTTGCCCAACCTCCTGACCAGTACCGTAGTCTCTGTAACTGTTTCGGGCCTCTGAGCAACAGACTGTGTAGATAAGCAAGTATTCCAGAGAACGAACTGGTCAGTCATATCTCTGACTCTCGCCGTAAGGGCCTGGGCTCTAGAGGTACACTTGCCTGGTTGTGAAGGTCAAGGTCGGGGGGGGTGTCTGTACTGGTGCTTTCTGGAACCCCATTTTCACTGTCATCTTCCTCTTTGCTTGTGAGGGCAACTTCATTTTCATAGCAAAATGAATTAGCATTGGAGAGGATGTATTTCTTTTCTGCTAAGTCTCTGGCACTACAAAGGGGAGTGTTGGGGACTTCATAAGTTTTATGAAACCTGGAGTAGTCCACTTTGTAGTAGTGCTTCTCCTCAAAGAGCACTGGCTCATAGCGGTGGCCCCAAAGGATCTCGTTGGCCAAATAAGAGCTACGGCACTGTGTCGTCATGGCAGTGGCTTCTACCATGCCTTCTAGTATCACAACAATTTCAAAGTCTGCATTGTCAATGTCCTGCTTACTCAAATCATATAAAGGACTGTCTTCGTCTATTTCATGGACGATCGTGATTGGGGACACCAGAAATATACGGTCAATCCCACTGTCAAAGCCAACATTGATGTCTATTTGATCCAGGGGGATGTACTCCCCTTCAGAAGTAATTCTAGATTTGAGGAGTTGTGCTCGAACATGAGCTTCTACCAAATGGCTTTTCCGAAGATTGCCTACTCGCCACATCAAACACAGCTTGCCGTCTCTCATGGCGATCACAGCATTGTGACTGAAGACAAGAGTCTCATTTCTCTTCTTTGGCTTTGCCATCTTTGCCATGACGGCTCCGATGATAAAAGCATCAATAATGCAACCCACGATCGACTGGAACACTACCATGAAAACAGCAATCGGGCACTCGTCTGTGACGCACCGGAAACCGTAGCCTATGGTTGTCTGGGTCTCAATGGAGAAAAGGAAGGCAGCTGTGAAGCTGTTGACTTCAGACACACAAGCTTTGCTCTCCTTAGATGCATCCAGATCTCCATGGAGCAAAGCTATCAACCAAAACACACAGCCAAAAAACAGCCACGAAAGAACAAAAGCCAGGCAGAAGATAACCAGCATCCACCGCCAGCGAATGTCTACACATGTGGTAAAGATGTCAGCCAGGTACCGTTGTCCCTTCTCCCCCACGTTGATAAACTGAACATTGCAATGGCCATCTTTCTTCACAAAGCGGCTCCTGCACTGCTGCCGAGTGTGAACTTTACTCTTCCCGTTTCCAAAGCCATTGGCAACCGCCATAGTGGCCAACTTCATGCCGTCTTCTTCCGAAGAGACGATGCTATAGCGGTTGGTTCGCACGCTGCCCATCGCTTCTGCTGTGGACGCCAGGGCTTCTGCTTTGGAAAACAGTCTGAGTTTTTGCAAAACCCTTTGGAGAAACAGTTTTGAATGCTCAGTGAGGACACGCACACACAAAAATGAGGAGAAATAGGTGTCTCCAGGTGCCTTAGGATTCTACCACGGCTGGTCTATTGACATGCAGAGTTACCTTAGTAACTCAGCTGACATCGAGACAATATGTCCTGCAAGAAAAGAGATTTAGAGATTACAAAAGAAGTCTTTCTTAGTAGAGTCCTACCGTTTTAGCCAAAAAATCCCACCCTAGCAAAAACGCAGAATCAGATATACATGTGCTTTGCATTGAATTGTATGGAATCAAATATCTGTCTCCTAGAAGAATTGTTTTAAAATTGTATTTAAAAGTATACAGCTGTCAAACATAGCCACGTTATCTATGTTAATCATTCAACCAAAATCTGAGGTCCCCTTTCCTTTTCTTTTTGCCACTGATCCAGAATATTCTATTTTCCAGGTGTGCCTCTCAGCTCCACTCTCCTCTTGCTTGCTTGGTGTTCAAATTACTAAACAGAAGAATGACTTGCTGATTTTAAGAACTGCTACAGAGCTTTTCGAACAGGACATGTCTAGACCACATTTCGTATTAGTGTAGCATTGAGCTAAATTGAGTTAAACACACATCCTAGGAGACTGTAGGAGCCCTTGATGACAAGGTTGACAGCAGGAAACCTATACTATTTGGGTTCAGTGATACAACTGAGCATACCACCTTTAAAATGGTCTGGAATGTGTCCTAACTTCTGGACACCGTTTGGACTTGCTGCATCACTCTGCACACTGTAAGCAGCCACTATGCAGAAATGTCTGATTACATCTCTGTTAGTGCAAGTGATTCTGCCTTGAAGACACGGATTTGCTCTGGGGGATAGAGAACGACTCTGTTGCCTAGGAATAAGAGTCCTGAAATTCTCCAGAGATGGGATTGCCGTGTGTGATGACAGACTAGGAAGTAAGCACCTTTGTGCCAAAGGACCAGGTCTTTAGCGGATTTAGAGAAGTCAGTAACTCATTCTATGTGGGTCCAGTGCTGCGTTCCTCCAAACAGAGACAACTTTGTAATCACAATAGCTCATAAATGACAGTCAGGTTACTTTCCCTTCAAGCCAGGTTGTTGCCATAGGTTCCTATGGAGAAGGCACTCAACTTCCCACAATATAAGCAAACAGGAGTTTGCACATTTCTCTTATTGCCTCATTCTCCCCTAGGTTAAAAAAAATATATCTATTTGCTTTAACTTTCCATCTCGGCTCCAAAGAAACTATTTTTTCCCTTGTCCAACAAAAGCCTGGGAGAAAATCTATGAACGTGTTTTCCTTGTATATTAACAAAGCTAAGATAGACTAGAACTAAGAAGATAAAATGATTCTCAGTTTTCCAAAGACATCTCTTGCATTTAAGGTGGAACAACGAGCAGCATATAAGAAGAATGGGAAATCTGTCCAAGCTCTGATTATGAAAACACCACTTTTTCTTTCTCCCCAAAGTCACGTGAACTATAAGCAGTTAGCAGACCCATGTTCAGCCAGGCCAGCTGCAAACAAATAAAGCAACTCATTTGTCCCAGTTTTGTGCATCCCTTTAAAAAGAGGGAAGGTACATTGTCTTCGAAAATGTCTTGTTACAGTCTCTTGACTTCTTCTTCTATATCCAAGTTATTATGCAAGAATGTGCCCCAACACATTTTTCCTGAGATTAGTCATCTGTGAAAATTGCAATGTGTGTTACATTTTGGCAGCTTTTGACACCTAAATGATGCCCGATTTGAAAGTGCCTTTGAATTACTTTATAAAAAGAAGTTACTGTGCTTTTTCAACCTTCCACCTGCTCAATGTTTTGTCTGCTTTGCTATGAAGTTTGCACTTGGACCAAAGAAAAAGGAATCTAATTCTTCAGGGTTCTAGATCCTGGACAGGGAGAGACTTTTTTTTTAGCAATGATTTCAGCTTTTTGGCTTACATGAAACAGTCAAGCATTTCTACATAGAGACAGACATAGCGACAAAACACCAAATGCAGGTGTATTTTACCAAAGGAGCGGGGGCTTTCATAAACAATGCTTATATCTTTGAATTGATTGATTTTGGAAATTTTTATTATAAGCTGACACCGAAAACTTTCCTTTCTATGATTCAAAACAATCCTTTCATCAGTTACCATTAGGGGCCACGAGCATACAGTTTCAAATTCTTGGAACTTATTTCTTTATCATTTCTAGATTAAAACGTAACAACCATATGAAAACTACAGGCTGAATTATGGCTTTCCAAAAATCTTGACCCCAGGACATTTGTTTGAATTCCACAAATCACACAATACCAGCTTCCTATGAATAGCTTTCCACATTTAGAATCTTGAAAATAGCCTGTATTGAGTGACTAGTATTGTCTTATTTCCAATGCTAATGACAGAATTTGTTCCACATGTGGACCATCATTTAAAAATTTTACCATTTTTCCTGGAAAAGGGAAAAGAGGTTTTGTTTTGTTTTGTTTGGCAAAATAGAAACTTGTCACTTCAAGCAGATATGCCCCTAAACAGATCTGTGTGTGTGTGTGTGTGTGTGTGTGTACCTACACATTATGTGTATTAAGACTTTTATGGAGTTGGTGATACAGCAAAAGTCAAGAACTTGCCAAAGTCTGATAAGGTAATTGTTTTAATTCACCACGAACACCACATTCACTGTTAACCTGCAACGTGTCCTGTGCATTTAGACAAACATAAAATTTCTTCCCCCACTCTTCTCTCACCAGAAGTGACCAGTGGATGAACATCTGGAAAAAGATTTTCTATCAAAAAGGAGCTCCCGTGCCACTCTATTCACAAGAATATTTGGGCGAAGAGACGATTAAGAATAGATGAGAATATTAAATGACCTGACGTTTTGATTTCTCTTGCTCTGAAGTGATATTTGACTCGATGAACGATGTACAAATTCCTCTTTCAGCCCGAATATTTAAGGGCCTCGATGGAAACTCAATGGACACAGATAATCATTGTGCCCAGGTCATAACTACTGATATAGAAAGTATTTCTGGGAAATTGAAAGGCTACATGTGGTACTGTTCATGTTAAGACTATTTATAGACTGAGCCAAAATTAAGCATAAGCAATGGAAAAAAAATAGTTCAGTGCTTCAATCTTAGGTAGATGTTAAGGGAGAGAGAGAGCAGTGGATAAATACAAGGTCAAGGAGGTCACATGGTGCAAATGGGGTCATCTAAGTTGATTTTACTATATAGGGAATAGTTCCAATGGGGCATTTGAAACACTGAAAAAGGTAATCATGAAGAATAATAAGAAAAGCTGTGCCCCATAATATGATCTTAGTATGCAGTGAATAAGAAACCTTCTGACTAAGAATAGGAAATAGCAAGAGAAACCATACTGGGCTGAGAGAGGTCTGCTAATGAGTGCTTAGAGCAGCTATTCCCCAGCTGACGCCATATAGACCGGCCTGAGTGTGCTCTGGGCACAAGTTGCTACGTGAGCACAACAGCTAGCGAAGCAACCTCTTGGAAGCTCAGTAAACAGAAGGAGGGAGGAGGGGAGAGTGGAGAGGGGAGGGGGGACACCATCCATCCACGTGAGCACTGTCTCTAACCTTCACCCTCCACCATGCACGCAGCAATGCCTAGCATTTGCATATACCCAGAAAGCACCTTCGGTAAGCAACTATACATACACATATACATGTACATATACATATACATATATTTTAAAAACTCAAAAGTTGTGGCACAGTTCAGGTAAAGATGAGGACAGTCTTTCAAAATTCGAAAGTCATACAAGGACTCTCCAGCTAGCCAGGGATTTTATAACGGCAAAGATTGAAGGATGTAGAGAGATCACGTCCTCTAAAAGAGCCAAGTTCCCAACAGTGTAAAAAGAATACCAATAATACAAAAGATGAAGTGCCACCAAAATAGGAGGGGAAAGGACAGAAAGTAAGATGACCTTGACCTCAGCCCTCAGCCCTCCCACCATCCACGAAGTTAATATCTCTCCCTCCTCCTGAGCATCAGGATTATCCTGGATCTTGGCAAATATAAATAAAACACTTGGAAGTGGGGAAGGAAGATGTTAACAAGTGTAAAGCGGACGTGCAACAGTGGTTACCAAGAGCAAATCTGTCAGCATATTGGTTATTAATGTGAAAAGAAAACAATATGCATTCTTTGCATATCAAAACAGGTTTTCAAACACCTTATTTCCTAACAGGTACATTCTGAGTTTATGTAAATCTGAAATTCACAGCCTCATCTTAGTTCCCATGCCACTCATTGGCTAACCCTGACGGACACCAAGCTACCCATTTTCAATCGCTATTTTTTTTCAAGTGTCATGGTGAATTCAAGTTATGATGCAATCTCCCTTTTTTTGCAGAATCCAGTCGTTTTGTTTCTTCGCTTCCCTAAAACCACCGCTATCTTCAAACCGGGCATTTACACCACGATTACTAAGAATAACAAATCGCTTAGGGCAGAGCAACATATCATGCGAAAGTTTTGCGGTCTTCAGGCTGAAATCCAATTCGGGCTCCTGCTGTCTTTCCCCACCGAAACGAACTTTGAGATGTTCATTCTGTTTGGAACTCGAAGATAGATTTGCAGCAGCGACCCCCCCACACACACACACACACGCAAAAAGCCAAGACTGAGGGATCTAAAATACTTCTGCGCCCAAGCTTTGCCAAGATCTGAGGCCGAGGCTCTTCTCGCGCCTCCCCCCGCCCACCACCACCACCTTTCTTTCGTCCCCTCCGAGGAAGAATCAAGACAGCCTCTGGCCCTTGCCTCCTAAACCCTGCATATCTCGCTACAGCTGGTGCATTGGAAGTTATGAGCACAAACAGATGCTGCAGCGAAATCTGTTTCTATTGCTCAACTGTTCCAAGCGTGTCTCAGTATTTTTAGCTCGAGGATGTTCTGGTGCGCACACAAACCGTGTAGACACGAGCTGGGACTCCGAAGCGAGAGACAGTGCTACAGGAGAATGACAGCTGGGCACTTCTGGAGCAGCAGGGCCAGGGCAGGGCAGGGAACGGTGGTGGCCCGAGTCCCCACCACAGGACACACAAGCAGCGAGAGGGCAGGAGGGGAGAAAAAGCACACAGCAGTCCTTACCTGTTGCTGGCACCGGAGCGTGGAGACATGGAGTAAAAGTGGGAGGTACCGAGGCATGTAAGATCCAGTGGTTTGTAAAAGCGAGGGAGCCTGAGCAAAGCAGAATCCCCAAGACCCAGCTTGCCGGCGCCGGGAAGGCTGCGCGCTGCCAAGCGCTCCAGTGCGCTCTGCAATATCCTGGGCTCTTTTGAGGCGGTCCACGCGATACCGGCCCCGCTGGCTCCGCCCCCGGCCGCTGCCGGCCAATCGCAGCCCGCGAGGAGGGGAGGATGCTTCACCCGCGGCTCCAGCAGCTGCCAGCGAAGGGAACCTGCGGCCGCTTCCTCCTCCACCCTGGCAGCCAGTTCGGGGAGTCGGGCGGGGAAGGGGAGGAGGAAGTTGCAGCCGGGGTCCGGGCAGCAGCAGGTGGGAAGCTCCGCGGCCGGCTCTGCTTGCAGCCTCAGCACAGCCTGGGCAAAGCTTCCTACCCCTCGCCGACCCAACTTCCCGGTGCCTCTGCCGGGGGGCGGTTTGCTGTGCCTGCGCCTCGAGGGGCTCGCAAGGTGCCGGGCCAGACGTTTGCTGCCGGCGAGGACTGCACGTCCCTCTCCCGCTACCTCGCACCCGGGATCCCCAGCAGCTGAACCCCCAGGACGGTGCCAAGCAGGACCGAGACGCGCGAGTGTGGCCAGTGCTTGCTGCGTGGCTCTTCTCTGCCAGCTGGCAAAGGACTCCGCGGGGCGAACGTCTCCGATCTCTCTCCCCTCGTCCTCGCTCAGTCTCTCTCTCCACCACCGCTTGGCCGATCTCAAGTCAGAACAACTGGAGAGTAATGAATTCTCTGGAACAGCAACTCCTACAGAAACTCGGCTCTGCCCTCCTAGCAACGCCTCCCAGCCCGCATTCCCAGCAGCCAGACGAGACCGTGCGGACCCCTGAAAAATCAACCTCAGGGTTTCCCCCCGCGCCGGACCCTGCCAATGGATCCATTGTTCCGCGTGGGTGTGTGGGTGTTGAGGGCGTGTTATCTCGGTCTCTCGGTATCATGACTAAGCCGTGCCATAAAGGGCCGAACTGTATTCAGTAGCCTTTCCTTCGGCGAAGTTTGCAGACCCTGTGCTCCTCTTCATGCTTATGCCCTCCAGCGATCGAATGGGTCTGTCCAGAAATTTCCTTAGACCTCTCGGGGCCTCTCAGAGTCACCAGAGCAATTCAACAAACTAGCCGGCGTCCTGGGCGGTGCAGAGGGGTGGAGGCTGGCGGGTAGGAGAGGTGAAACTCTCAACGCCAGGCAGAGTTCTGCAGCCTACCCACGTCCGGGTGTCATGTCCTCACATGGCCCCTAGGAGGTGCTGCTGAAATGAGTTTGGGTGCTGCAGACGCAGGCTCGCTGCTTGCTGTTAACCAGGCGGGTTTTATTTCCCAGCACCGAGCAAGACACTTAAATTAAACGGATGCGGAATAAGTCGCGCACGCATTGTGAGAGTTCTGGCAGCCCAGGGACCTCGCCGTCCATCTTATTTGTGAGATTATGCGGTATACCAAGCCCTGTTACAAACTGTGGCCTTCTGAAACCTTGTAAGTGGAAACACTGTCTCACACAAGGGAGATCTGCTTTAAAACTTATTAGGTCATTCAATATATTTTATATGCATTAAAATACATTATATATATCTATATCTATATCTATATCTATATATAGATATATATAATATATTTAAGTCTGTCAGGCTGATTAATGTATAAGAACCCGGAACCCTGTTCACAAAGGAAATAGTAACGAGTGTGAACAAATGAGATCATATCGAATTAAAAAGCTTTTCCACAGCCGGACGTGGTGGCGCACGCCTGTAATCCCAGCACTCGGGAGGTTGAGGCAGGAGGATCGCTGTGAGTTGGAGACCAGCCTGGGCTACATAGTGAGTTCCAGGTCAGCCACAACTACATAGTGAGACTCTGTCGAGGGGAGGGGGAGGCTTTTGCAAAGAAACAGCGAAGAAAGTGAAAAGACAAGGTACAGAATAGGAAGAAAAGATTTTCACCAGCTACTCCGCAGAAAGAAAGCTAATATCTAGAATACATAAAGAACTAAAAAAATTAGACTCCCTCAAATAAAAGACCCCATCAAAGCATAGACAAGTGAAATGAAAAGATACTTCACGGCAGACATACAAGTGACCAATAAATATGTAATGAAACGTTCACCATCTCCAGCCATTACAGAAATGAAAATTCAAACAGCACTGAGATTTCATGTTGCCCCAGAAAGAATGGCTGTTGTAGAGAAATCAAATAATATCAGAAGCTGGCTAGTCTTCAAAGGGAAAAAGAGACCCTTTTAAATTTTTCATGGGAATGTAAGCTACTATAACCACTATGGAAATCAGCATGGAGATTTCTCAAAAGCTAAAACTATCAATTCCCTTTCAGCTGTTCCCTTTCAGGGGTCTTCCCAAAAGAGTTAAAGATGTATATTACACAGATGGCCTGCATACCCATATTTATTGCAACACAGTTCATAACACCTAAATCTTGAAAGCAACTTAGATGCCCATCAGCCCATGAACGCATGAAGAAAGCATGGTATTCACACATAATGGACCACCGCTGTGCCACAAAGAAAATCTAGAGTCATTTATAGAAGAAGGGATGCACCTTGAGACCCATAAGATCAAGCGAAATAAATCAGACACACAAAGCTAAGTATCATTTGGCATCTCATATGTGACCAACCCAAAGTACAAATAAAGAAAAAGAAGATAAATAGGAAGTAGGGAGATCGAGCTTCTTCAAACAAGAAAGTGATCAAAAGATGGAGGAAGGAGAAGGAAAGAGAATGAAAAAAGGAATTCAGACGTGTTATATACATGCACCAACTCCCCACGAGGGATATAAACACATTCTGCAAACAGTGCTGATGAAACAGAAAGAATCCAGGATGTAACCTAAAGCTACAGGCATCTGCAGATAGGCGAATTAGCACTGGTACTCAAATGATGGAGGATAAATTAACAGCTCAGTCCACTTCAAAAGCTTTCCTCAGACATGAGCTGCCTCTTGGATTTCTTCTAAGGAAAAAGTTGAAGATCAGATGAGTGCCTTAAAACGTATGAAGGCTAAATGGGAAAAGAAAATCAATCATTTTGAGATTTTCTTTACTAAGATTCAATTAAGGGCATCTGTAGATGGCTAAACATTTTCCAGGCCGTATGAATTCAGAGGAGTGACACTGTTTTTCCCCCAAGCGAGGAACTCTGTTTAACAGCTCAGTTATCAAGAAGGGGATGCTATTTCTCTGAAATTTGGATTGAAATTATTTTACTTTAATATTCAAATTCAAATAAATATACCATGGGCTGAGATAGCTTCCTATGGCAGAGGAAGTCATTAAAGAAATGAGCACAAAGTTATGCTTATTATTTCTGGTGGTATGAATTTAGCCCTGAGAGGCAACAGTGGGTGAATCCCAGTCTTTGTCGTGAGCCATTAGAGTCACGCTCACCCTTTCCCTAGTGGTTTGGGTGATAGGCAGGATGGCTTATTCAGGTTGAAGGAGAATGCTCATGAAAAATTAAGGATGTTAATAAGCAGCCCTAATTACTTAAAGGTACACAAAGGATTCTATTTTGTAACGAAACCTTGATAAACGTATGATCTGGTTGTCTAGCTCCATTGTTGCATTCTAAAAGGAAAAAAGATTTTTAACATTTTAATTAATAAATGATTTTTTTGTTATGTTCCTAGTAGGAAAATTCTACTGTGCCAAAGCATTAGGACTTGGATAAATGTGCTTTTTTTGGGCTACAGATTTCTCTAGTCAATCTCTCTTTTTTGGCTGAGTCAGGCCTTATTTAGCAACAATATCCATTAGTTTTGGACACCATTGCAGTTGCGTGCTAGGATCCATCTGTGGATCAAATTTTTCCAAGGAAATTACAATTATGTTCTTACTGATTGCCTCCATGGTAACCACCTATAATTTTAGGGCCAAATATTAGTCACAATCTAGCTCTGCAGTCAGATCGTGAATGGTTGTGTCACGCAGAAAGTGCACAGAACTTTCCTCTCCATTTATATAAAGATCTCCAACAATTAAATATATTTTCAGGCTTCTCATATATGTGTTTGTATGCAGTTCAAGCCCACAAAAAGGAATGAAAAGGCCCTAAAATTTGCTCCTAAAATTGTTAATTACCTATGTACTGCTCTGCTGAGTAATAATCAAAGGCAATAAATAATAAATAAAATCATCATCATATTGGCTTGAACCATAGTCAGGATGAGTTTTCAATAGTCTGCTACTATGAGAACAACTTATAAACTATAACACTCTAAAGTATTTCATATAAACGTACGTATCATGAGATAGATTTGGCTTTAAAAATTATGCGATTCACTGACCACTTTGGTCACCTCCATGTTAAATTCAGGGAACACACTTGCCAAATAACTGCTTTGGACTTCAACTCTGTGCTAGCTCATATGGGAGGCAGGAAATCCTACAAGAAACATTGTTTCCCGTTAGGAGTATAACATTTATTTATTTATTTTTTAGATAAAATAATATTTTGATGTTTTTTTTTCTCATTGAGTTTATTGGTACATACTAGGTATACAGTACAGTTACATTCATTATTGGGATCTTGTACCTTTACATGACAGGTCTTGGTCCTCATTTTTTCCCTTGTTCCTGCCTTCCCTTCACCCTCTCCTCCCCTCCCCAGTTACAAACACTTTATTTACATTTTTTCATTTTCTCATATTTTTTTCTTTTCCCTTATTACCTTTCCCCTACCCTTCCCATTTTCCCTACACCTTTAGCCCTTTTCTTCCTATTTCACATTGTCAATAATTATTTCATTAGGATCTTATGTACTATTATAGTTTTCCAAACCAGAGGAACTATTCAGTATTTACACATGTGTGACCCAGCCATCCCTCTGTTGGGTATTTTTCCAAAAGAATTAAAATAATCGTATCACAGTGATATATGCGCACCTATGTTTGTAGCGGCACAGTTTGTAATAGCTAAAACTTGGAAACATCCCATTTGCCCATCAGTTGGAAACTGGATAAAGAAGATGTGTTTTTTCTATAGAATGGAGTACTACTCAGCCATAAAGAATGAGAAGTTAGATTCCTTCATAGGAAAATGGATACCTAATGAAGATATACTCCTAAGGAGTATAACATTTCTGCTTCAGAGAACAATGTACACGTCAATGCCCGAGTGCACAAGATTTAAAATGTACAAAATCTTACCGTATGTAGTTGTGTTAAGGACATTAAGAATGCACCAAACTGCCTCTTTGTCCAGTCAGTGCCCTGAAAGTGACTGACAGGAAATGACATGTACAAATGAGGTGGCGCTACTTTCCTGCGTGTCTCCGTCTACACAGACACCCTTGGCTGTGAGGCAGCAGGACTTAATTCCGCAAGCTCCGCGTGTATGTCCAATCACAGCCCGAGCACCATACTGGCCTGGCGAGCCTGGGAATGCGACATCTTGCATCTCGGCTTGCCGAAATGATTAAAATGTACTTGGGTGGAAGTTACTCTCTCTGGATTATGCTATAGAAGCAGCTCTGACTGATCGCCCCTGTAGCACTCAGTACCTATTTAGACTGGAGCAATTTTGTTCTCTAACTAGAACAAAAAATTATTTTAATGGCTGCATCGACCTACCCATGGTGGGCTTTTCAAAAATGGTGAAAAATCATGAAATGTCCTTTTTATCTTTATGTCCTCATTGCCTTGCCTTTCACCAGGTAGATGAGTCTGATAAGTCTTAGGATAAGCCCCCATAAATGTCAGTTGAATGATGTATAAAAGGAACAGAACGTTTTTACTGTGATGTGACCTGAATAATGAATTAGTACAATTATAACAAATATAAGCTCTTTCATTTTACCTGCATTGCAGACAGCCTATCAGGGTAAGGCAGAGACACTTCCTCTAAATTAAGAGACCTTAGCCTAAACTTACGTGAACACCTTGTTCTTCCTTCTCGATCAGTGGGAGTCTTCATATTGTGGCTTCTCAAAAATATGCTTTGAATCTGTCAGGCCACCAGGAAGCTCTAATTTGTTGATTCTAATCTGCACACTGGGCTGAGAAGTTATGTAACCAAGATTGTTAAAAATATATGTCAAGTGAAAGCCAATATAAGCGAACATCTAAAGATGTATTTTTGAAATTGTAGGAACAGATGCTGAAATTGAAGGTACCTTTTCTTGGTCGGTTTTCTTTTTTTTTAAAAAAAAAAAAAGTACTTCAAGATACATATTGATGGCATCTATTTTTGCTTTAAATGCCTTAGTCCTTGTACTGATGTGTTGTGAATAGCTAGTTAAAGGAATTCCTATATGTTTGCAGCTACTTATATATACAACAAAATCACATCTATTCACTGATATTTCAGTGTTTACTGTCTCTTTATAATTGACAATTTCCATCAAAAAAAAAAAAGTACTTCAAGATACATATTGATGGCATCTATTTTTGCTTTAAATGCCTTAGTCCTTGTACTGATGTGTTGTGAATAGCTAGTTAAAGGAATTCCTATATGTTTGCAGCTACTTATATATACAACAAAATCACATCTATTCACTGATATTTCAGTGTTTACTGTCTCTTTATAATTGACAATTTCCATCAAATCTATTAAAACAAGTAACAGTCAGTAGGACTATTCTTTAGAAACTCATACATGTAGGGCAAGCGAGTTATTGTTTACCTCCTCTCTCATGCTCTGGAAGATTTCCTTTATCTCACATTAGGGAGACAACTGGACTCTGAAAACACCATATACATCAAAGTATCTGGCCTTGCATTATTGTTTCTTAACCCAGTAGTTACAATAAGCATTTCATCTGTGTTATCTGTGGTGGTTTAGCTCTCCAGGGAGCCTTGTAGCCTCAGTTCATCATGGATGGCAGTCCTGGGGCCAGGGTCCAGGTCACTTTCGCAATACCCGACACCTCCAACTCATGGTAGAAAAGGAGGTTTATTTTAGCCCGCAGTCTGTAGGGGTTTCAAGCCCTATTCACCTGGTTCTGAGCCAGGGAAAAATGCCAGAGGAGAAAGAGCTCTTGGATGGCAGCTGGCAGCAGAGAGAGCGAGTGCAGAAGGGAGGGAGCTCTACTCTTCCAGGCCGTGCTCCCAGTGACCCCCCTGCCCCTGACCAGGCTTCATCGGCCAACATCACAGCTAGCTACATATTCCTTTGTGGGCAAAGGCACTGATGGGTATCACCCCTTTTTACGGCTTGTGTTTAGATGCCCCTCAAAGCCATATGTGAAGGAGGTGGCTCAATCCAGTGTACAGTGCTAGCATGAAGGGTGTGTGGCTACTAAATCGCTACGCGTGAGTGGTTGGTTTGGCACCGCTCTACTCCTGGTGGTCCGAATAATATCAAAGGAGCAGAAAGTCGCTTTTAAAGTCTCTTGTTACTTTTGCTGTCTTCTATCACCGTGAACTGCTGCCCCTCTGCCACCCTGTCCTGGAGCCAGCCAATTACAGACTGAAACCTCCATGAACTATGAGCTAAATAAACCTTTCCACTTTAACTCTGGGTGACAGGTATTCTGTCTCAGCAAGGGGAGAAAAGTAACTAACACACACACACCCCTTGATCCAATCCTCTCCCAAAAGCCTCCCCTATGGGCATGTAAGGCTTTGGAGGACATCTAGGTATAAACCATAATAGCCAGGTAGGGCTGCTCTAACACAGCTCTGTGGCTGGACGAAAAGCCACCTGAGAAAAATAGCAGTTATCATGCACGCTCGTCATGGCCACTGGGAAGAAGCAACCTTCATTACTGGAGGCTTAGTATAAAATGTTATTTAATAACAGTGATGGAGTAATAAGAAGACCAGCAATAAGTGAACAGGTATTGAGAGCCTTTCAAAAAGCAGAGGGCTGCTATTGTGTTTTCCCCCGACCTGCTACATTGTGGTTCTGTATGACATGGACATTTACAGGTGGAAACAATGAAAATGAAGGAGGAAAGAGGAAGAAGAGGCGACAAGAAAATATTCCTCAGAAATAGCTGGTTCTAAAACAAAAACAAGCAACAGCAAAAAAAAAAAGAAAAAAAAAAAAAAAAAAAAAAAAAAAAAAACACTGTTCGTAGCTCTTAGGAAAGATGAGCCTGCCTCAAATATCTATAGTCCTCCTCTCTAACAATGAGCAATACTCCCCAGGAAGATTTGCTGTCACTAGAAGCTGAATTCAATGTCAAAAACACCTGTAAGAACGTCTCCTCTCCTTGGTAAAAATCTCACTGAAAGATTATAAGAGTCATGCAGATTGGCTTTTTTCCAAAACTAACAATAATGATGGTAACAAAGAACACAGAGACTTCAGACAGCCAAGACTGAATACTATCATAGATATTTAAGACATATTCCACAAGCTACAAAGAAAATACAAAACATTTTTTGAGTAACGTCAGCATCACTATAGTGATACCTATGAAAGAAAGTCTGTATGCCTGGTCCTCTAACTTTTGGGATGCGGACTTCACCTGGGTGTAGGCTCTCTTTAAAGGTATATTTTAGGTCTTTTTAAGTCAAAACAATTATGCTCATTGTGAAAACTGTATGATGTAAACATTTTCAAGGCATTTAAAAATTTTGAATAGTGTGAGAAAATGTAAAAAATAAAATAAGTATATATTCTTATAATTGGGAAGTAATCACTATAAATAACTGTATACATCTCTTCTCCTATTCGCTGTATTTCCTCTTCTACTTTTAAGTCATTTATGTTTCATAGCATTAAGATAAATTGTGTCATATATTTTCACGAGTGTCATATTTTTATATCTGATTCTTTGGCATGAAGTTAAAAACATTTGAAAACACAATTTTCATAAACATATATATATATATATGAATGAAAATCATTACATGTGTTTATATCTTTATGTTCATATTTTTAATTTTCATTTTTCTAGGGTTGCCTTAACTGTCTTTATAGATTAAGGTTTTTCTTCGTCTTTTACAATTTTCTTAGCATCTATTCCTAGATGTGGAATTGCATGGTAAATGTTGTAAGGTATAAGAGCTTACAATGAAACGTCTTCATTGCAATCCTTTCACATTAAATCCCAACATATGGAAGCTGAAGAATATTCTAAAGTATGCAACTTTGATGATGGTGCTACCAGTAGCATTGTCCACTGTGGAGGAATTCAGAATTGAGTCACCCTGCTATATATTTGCTGCCTAATACTTCTATAGTTTTATTGTGCACTTCCTGGTTATCCATAAATGTCTTATTTAAAAGGCTAAATATATATTTATATATATATATATATATAAACTTCCTAGAATATAATGAACACCTATAGTCAACAGTTACTTCTAGTACTGCTGCTGCAGCTATTAATCATGAAAATAGATCATTAAATAACTGAACCAGAGGAATAAGCCATTAATACAATAAACCCTTAAATATCTTAATAACAGCCTTTAATACTAACATCCTAAACAAACAGGTAAATATCTGAGGACATACTGTAGGTGTATCTGAAAGTATGGATTGACTAAGGAAGAAAAGTAGAGGGTGTTTTCCAGTCAATCATCAATATTTTAATACATTCATGAATTTCTAAAGGAGATATTAGATTGAACATTAAATCTGGGTCAGATTCTGAATTCTTAACACAAAGATGATGAGTTGAAATTTTGTTCCTCACAAAGGGAAGAGGATTCTATGAAAACCAGAAGGATAGAGAAATACAAATAAAGTGGTTGGAACATTAGTCTGATTTGATTGATTGGCACTATTTTTCCAATTCCTCCTCTGAAGCCTCATCTTTTATTCTGTTTTTTCTTAATATTATTTCCCAAAACCTAGTTGTTTGGTTTTTGTTTTTTGTTTTTTTGTACCTGGGATTGAACTCGGGTCCTTGTGCTTGCAAGGCAGGTGCTGGAACCACTGAGCTAAATCCCTGGCAAAAACCAAGTCTTAATTAAAACATGAAGATACAGAAACTTCCTCATGAGTATGGGTACTGTGGATACGAATTCTAAATTTAAATGATTTCAAATCCAGTATTTCCCCCTCTGCTTTCTATAAGATATAATTTTTCATAGCATGTCTGCTCAAACAAGCTCCCCCTAAATTATTTCTTAACTCTATAATATGGAATGTTTTGGGATTTTTTTTCTCCTTATGCAGTATCGCTTTCCAAACATTTAACTCAAACTTTTATTTTTCTGAGATCACATTTTTCACTTTAATATAAACTCAATCATGATCTGTAGATTGGATTGAAATTTTCCTCCATTACTGTCCAATTTCCACTCCACAGACACATATCCTCAATTGATAAATATGTCAGTTTTTTGATAAATTTATGTTCTGATATTTAAAGCCCTGTGTATAAGTTACAAACAAATAAAACTTGCATTAAAATGGTGCCAGAATAAAACGTTGTGCCCAACTACCACCAATATCATTAGTGATGAATGATAATATAACAATATAAATAACATCATACG